CTGAGCGAGGTGCGGCCGCAACACCGAGGGTTGCGATCCCGTTGCCAGTCCCGGTCCGGTATGGGCACAACACTGAGGGCTACGATCCGTTGCCGGTCTCGAAAAAAGACAAAAAGGAAAAAAATACAAAAAAAACAAAAAACTATCCAGAAGACTGTAGGGTTTTCAAAAAAAGGAGATTAGAGAATAGAATATATGGTGTGATCTCATTAATGCCAAATGGTTACATAGATTGTTATGCAGAGACAGCCACCAAAACATTAACAGTGAATTCTGGTGATTTTACATACTTCATGGTATTTTTTTAGATTTAAAAAATAGATAAATAAATAAATGTATCATTTTAACAAAAATAATAATAAACTTTTTATTGTTGAGGGAGTACAGTTATTTTATGACAGACTCAATTGTTCTATTCCCATAAGATGGACTTTATCTATATCTAGTTTGGCTATCAAGGCCAGCTGGCTGATTTGTGTTTGCTTTTATTGCTACTTTGATAACTGTGATATAACAAATAATTTGTCTGATCTTTGTCCTGGGTTCCTGGCAGGAGTTTCAAAAACCTCAGGCAATTCAGATAGCCCAGCCTCTGGGGAGTGGGGAAGGACTGAGGATTGAGCTCAGTCGTGTAGCCAATAATTTAATCAATCACATCTGCACAATGAAACCCTAATAAAAACTCTGGACACCAAAGATCAGTGGAGCTTCCTGGTTTGTGAACACACTGATGTGCCAATGAGAGTGAGGTGCCTTGACACCACAGGGAGAGGTCATGGAAGCTCTGCATTCCCTCCCATGTGTTACCGTTTATAATAAAACTATAATTCTAAGTACAGGACTTTCCTGAGTTCTGTGAGTCATTCTAGTGAATTACCAAACCTAAGGGGGATCATGGGAACTTCCCAAATTTGTAGCAGTTGGTCAAAAATGAAGGCAGTCTGGGAAACCCAGTGAGACTTGTGGCTGGAGTCTGAACTGGAGGCAGTCTTGTGGAGGATTCTGCCCTTCATCGGTGGGATCTGCACTAACTGCAGGTAGTTAGTGTCAGAACTGTACTGTGGTACACCAAGTTGGTGTCAAAACAGTTGGGATGAAATGGAACAGTAATCATCCTAAGTAACGATAGTTGGAGCAGCTGTTGCCATGTTGTTGGTCGCTGCCCACTCAGACCCATTCGCGCCTGTTCTGTCTGCCATGTCCTGCGGGGTGGCAGGTGCACTGTGGCCCCTGGTGCAGGCCACCTCGGAGCTGCCTGTGCTGGACGTGAAGTGGCCCTTCCTGTGCCAGGAGTCGCTGAGTGGCCAGGCCGCGAGTTGTCCTTTGGTTGCCTCCGTGGGCCTCAGTTTCCCTGCTTCTGTTCATTACTCCCATACAGACATCAAAGTGCCTGACTTTATTGTTGCACTGAAGTTTTAGATAGTACAAAGTCTTCAAAGGAGAGCAGTGAGGCTAGAAAAGGTTTCTCCTATTTGATAACTGCAACAGCTACTGTGAGTGTTGCATATGCTGTTAAGAATGTTGTCAACCAGTTTGTTTCCAGCATGAGTGCTTCTGCTGATGTGCTGGCCATGTCAAAAATCGAAATCAAGTTAACTGATATTCCAGAAGGCAAGAACATTGCTTTCAAATGGAGAGGCAAACCCCTGTTTATACGCCATAGAACCAGGAAGGAAATTGACCGGGAAGCTGTGGTTGAAATATCCCAGTTGAGAGATCCGCAGCATGACTTAGAATGAGTAAAGAAACCTGAATGGATTATTCTGATAGGTGTTTGCACTCATCTTGGTTGTGTACCCATTGCAAATGCAGGAGATTTTGGTGGTTCTTACTGCCCTTGCCATGGGTCACACTACGAAGCATGTGGCAGGATCAGGAAGGGGCCTGCACCTCTCAATCTTGAAGTTCCCTCATATGAGTTCACCAGTGATGATATGGTGCTTGTTGGTTAGAGACTTGGACTCAAGTCATAGGCTTCTTTCAGTCTTCATGTGGCCTCCCAAGAGTTATTTGAGAGCAAGACTTCTGTACTTCAAGTTGGTTGATTTGAGACATTTAAGAATTGCTAATAATGTATTTGCAA